TAACTTTTTCTTCTTATTTAGCCCTTTTACAATTGGAGGCACCATACAAAAGTAACAATTACTAACATGATCTGTTGGCTCTCTCCAAATCATTGGCACAGCGAAAGGCATAGATGACTTTTTTCCATTCAACCATTGCTCCAGTGCCGTCCCACAAGAATTGCAGCATATATGTGGTGCCCAGCTCTTGTCCTGGTCTCCTATCTTGCAGCCAAAATACAAGTTGTAGGCTTTCTTAATCATTCCTGTTATCCTCCTTTTTTGTGAGATAAAAGTTATTTCACCGCAGATATAGCAGAAATTATCTGCTTTATTCACACAAGTTCGAGGCATTACTGAGTAGCCTATATAAGCATAAAACGAAATGTAAAGACGCTGTCGAACTACAATCAGCTACAGATACTGCAGCTTTTATGCAGTGAAGTGATGCAATTAAAGGCTAATATTGCATCATCTCAGTATACATGCAATTTTCTATTGGTCACCAGTATCAATTGCGCAATATGCAGCTGAAGTTGCATCATAATTTTGAATGGCTTACGTCATTAGATGGGTGAATATATCATGGAAACTAGAGCCAATCAACATTTTTTAGGGTCATTTTCGTTTTCAGCACCCCAAAATTATGTAAGATTAGCTAATTTTATGCCCAAAACTTTTTACCTGTTGAACAGTGTTATAGATCAGAAAATGACATTTGCTCACATGTATGGAATTATGTCGAAAAAATATGACCTTCTGAAACATTTCCAAAATTCCTTGTTTTTAAAACAGCACGAAGAGGATCTTCTCAGTGTACGAAGAGGACTAGAGTCCCTCTTTATGGCAGGAGCAGGTCCCTTTTAGTTTCAGTACCTTGTGCCAGGCATGTAGTTTTATGTCTTACAGAATGTGTATGCTGATAGATTTATTTTACTGGTTTAATTATTTGTGAGTTTTGTTTAGATTGTTGAGTTGTACCAGTGATTTCTAGAAGAGTGTATGCAAAGAAAGGACAAAAAAACAAGAATATAAATGTTACGAAAGACTGAGCTATTCAGATTTTTCTACACAACTTCAGAAATATGATAGGCTGAATTTATTTGGATTACCAATGCTGTGCACTAGTTGTACATTTTCCTGCTAAATCGTTTGCATAACGCATTTGTTTTACGAAAGGCAGTACTGCTGTGTGGAGTGCAGTAACCCAGAACAAGCAGAAATGAAGTCCAATTTTTGCGTAAGATAGATTGGCAAGGTTGTTAGAACCTCTTTCCAGCCTTTCACTCTGTATATGTCCCATAAGGGGAGGTTACTCCCACTTAATGCATGGTCCCCAGGACCAGAAGTCTCCTTTAACTGGGTCACAGACAACAGCTAGCAAAGGTTCTAATCTTCCCTGCTCTAACCAGAACTGACTAGAGTTAGGCTTTGTCACTTCTGGTAGACGAAAGCCAGTTGCTGGTTTACTATACTTTGCCTTGTTAACTTGGGAAAGAACTGTTTCACCTAGGTTTGTAGCTGTTCATTACTTGTGATTGTTCTGCACTTGTTGTTAATTTGTTTTATCTTGTTAAAATATGTCTTTGCTTTGTTAATTGCACTTAAGTGATGTAAAAGTTGAATTTTAAACAGTCTGGAGTTTGATATGTAAGGGGTAACAGTAAAGAGTTACTTTGATGTTCCCAGGATGCATATTCTTTCTGTTGAACATACGTAAAACAATATAGGGGACACTACAATAGTGCATTGTTGTGCTGGGCAAGCAAATCATGAATGGCTGGTGTTTTATAAAACTGTAACTGTACTTAGCCATATGAAAAAAATCTTGGGTGCGGGTGTATTTATTTTATATATGAAAAAACTTACACATCAGCATTTGTTATACAGTATTCCTATTCGACTTTCTGGTTTAAAACTAGAGGAAAGGTAAAGAGATAGTGGCAACAGCTCAAGCTTGCAGATGAAAATGACAGCTGGCAGTCTGCAAGTGGGTGCTTGTGGGCAACACAGATACTTATCTGTCCCTTCACAATTTATACACAAGCCAGCTGTAACTACTATAGGAGTTAGGGCTCATGTACACTGCAACTGCTAAACTGTCTTTCAGGAGCTGTTGAGAGTTTTTTTCAGCAGCCCCTGAACTCTCCCTAATGTTTTCCTATGTGTCCATGAACACATAGTCGTTTACAGGCAGTTGAGTTTACAGTCGTTTTTTTAACGCACCAAACTTGCGTTCAGCAGTAGATTTTACCAGCGTTTCAAATGCCAAATGCTTGTAAACGCGTGTAAACATGGTTAACCGCGTTTAGAAGCTTTTTTAACTGTTCCATGTCCATATGCTGTCCAGAGCCTTTTTTTCATCATCAGAAATGCATGCAAAGTGTTTCCATGTATTCAAATGGACCTGGTACACCAGCACAGTCAGTTCCAGGTTTTGCGTGAAGGAAAAAATGATAGAACGTGCCGCATTATGCTCTTGATGGGATCCATAGTGAATACAACCAGAAAAGACAGGTCATCGCAACACATACTGCTCTCTCTGCTTCTGATCTCTCTATTTCTCTCAAAGTGTCTGAAATAGTTAATTATTTACTATTTTTCAGTGCATTCTGGGCATTTGGGAAGGTCTCCGGAGGTTATCTTTTAAAAACGCTTCTAAATGCAAACGCACATAAACGCGGTATGCAACCCCGGCTAAACTGAGTCAGTTTCCATCATTCAGAAGAGTTTTCCAAATGTCCCATGTACATGAGCCCTAATTGTCACTGTGGTGGCAGAGCAATAGTTTTATTGGTATCTGCAAGAAGAAACTGGTTAATGTGCTTTTGCTGGTAACATTAAAGTGATCATTCTCGTCGTACCCCTCATATAAGACAAATTGGGGTGGATTTGCTAAAGGCAAATAGACTTTGCTTTTTGCAAGTGAAGTTGAACTCAGTTTCCCCAGGGCTTAGTGAATGTGGTGAAACTTCACTTTGTGAAGCATACAAAATCAAGTGCATGGAAAATAAAAAAACAGCATTATTGCCTGCACATGACTGGATGATGGAAATCAGCAGAGCTTCAACACATACACTAAGCTCTGGGTAAAATCAATGCAACTGCACAGTGCACATTATATTTGTATTTAGTAAATCAAACTCATTGTTGGTTACAGTATGTGCTTTTGTTACCCAGTGTTGAACACAGCTCATGTTTAGCCATCTCGCCCTTTGGTAAGCACGGTCAGTAACATTTTTTGTTATTTTTGCTTTTTGGCTGTTTACTCTTTCATCCAAGTCGGTGCTACAGGCAATGTTAGGAAGATCACATTTACCACCCAATTTATTGCCTTACTCTCCAAAGCACCTCTGTTACCTGCAGAGAACACAGGCATACATCCACCCTGCATCCTTTAATGCTGAGGGCCTCACTGACTTACACTTACACTAGGCCCTGTCATTGCCACGTTGGATGTCGGTGTTGTCTTTGCCTCAGCATTCAGGAGGTCATTGCTAATGGAATTTTTGAGCTCTGGAGGGCCATATAGTAAAATAGAAAGTGTGAAGTGCATCTGCGGTGCCTTCTGTGCTGCGTGTGTGTTGGTTTCTGGTAGGGTTTTTTTGTATCACAGGTTTGCTTTAGATATGGTTTACAACAGCCCTCACTGCCTCTATTATGGGAAATAAAAACAATGATATTTTGTTTGAGGACCACCAGCAGGACACATTTTCAAAACTTGCAGGTAAGAGTACAGGCTTTTTTATCAGCATTAATCTATAAAAAAACCTATCTGGCATGAAAAGAGATCTAAAAAAATGTCTTTTGTTGGCATCTACAAAATATGGAAGATTTATTAATACAGAAGGAAAAGTGTGTTACCCCTAGCTCTAAGATTCCGGCTCCCACTCATTATAACATTGGCTCTAGGATACAGCTAGAAGTTGGCTTTCATTTTATTTGCTACAATTGAATGAGTGTTTAGAATCTAAATGGTAGCTTTTTATTTTATGTGCAGTCAATATCAAAATAACATATTTAATCATAGTAACCAAAGCATAGTTGCTATGGCTAAGTAATACTTTGCTCTGCTATGTAATATTGAAGCTGATGTCTATACTAACATCTAAATAATGCATTGAAGTATGTGAGATATCTATAACCTTCCAAAGGAATTGAGTTCAGCCAGTCTTGCATCTCACATATCTCTATCACACTGCACAACCACCAGGATGATGCTTCTGTTGATTCCCTGGTTCAGCTTCTTCGATTATCTGTTTGTTGACTGGACAAAGGTGGTGGCATGAGTTTATCCTCAAGTGAGCAGACTGGAGGCAAAGTTGTGAAACCAGAAACTGCAAAGCTGAATCAGGAAAACAAGTTGTCCCCAGTCCGCCGGTGTTTGTTTTGCGGCAGGCCTATGTAATTTACATTACTTTTTTTTAATCTGCTGTTCCAGCGCTGTACATACAAGACTCAGATCAGCATTTTCAGCAATGTTCGTTTTTTTTTTTTTTTTAATAAGAATAACGTAACCAGGAAAATGTAACATTTTCAGACATTAAAAAAAGAAACATAATATAAAACATGAAAATACTTTGCCGAGGCATGACCTTTACAAAGAAAGTGTGACGAGGCGGACATGTCGATGTAATACTGATAGATGTGCTGGCTGCGTTTGTCCATTATGATGTCGCCATGCACAGCGTCTTGCTGCAATATACAGCGTCAATCCAGTGTCCATCCAGTGTCTCTCAGCGACACCCACTTTTGTTTTGCGTGTGTATCCTTGAGCTTAGTTTCTCTCCCCTATTGGGGCTGATCAGTCCGCAGACATGCGCGGTGAACTCATCGCCATTCCACTCCACATCAGGAAGTGTAGCAGACAGTTTCTCCTTATCACCCACAATGAACTCTCTGCGAAAATTTCAGAGCTCCAGGCGCTCAACTTCACAACTGAACCTCATTGCTCCTCATGGAACATGTTCAGCGATTTTTGTAACTGCAAGTAGGACCGTTTCTCCTATGCATGAAAGATTTTACGGTCTGTGATACCTGAAAAGGAAAGAGAAGGAGAGTTTTAGTCCAAGAGCTTTAAAGTAATCTGTTAATACTTTGAATGGAAAATTTAATTTTTTATTCCAATTTAAGGACGGCTTCACATTGGCCCAACGCACTTATGCTAAAGCGCAGCCTACCTGTGTTTTTTGTGCAAGTTAGCTGTGCTTTCCTATAGACTTCTATGAGGTCTTGTGGTTTTGGTGCAGTTTCAGAAAGCGAACCAAAACTCCAGCATGCTGCAGCTTGGTGCTTTCTAAAACCACAACAAAACCAAATGACATCATAGAAGTCTATGGAAAAGCTCAGGTAACCCACACAAAAACATGTATCACTTCTCTGCTCAAAGTTTTTATATGCCTGACTAACATAAGGTCAATATGTCAAGCTGTTATATGCCTGACTAAGCTAAGGTCACCATGTCAAAATATCTAAGTTTGTGTGAATACACGTACCAATGAAAATGCAAACCAAGTCGTCTAGAGAATGTTACAGTTAGAAGTGTTGGGACAAACTATGGTTTAAATCCATATAAAGGTGTTACAACCCAACCATTGTTGCTGTAACTGCTGCAGCACTGCTGGCTGTGGTATACTTTGTCCCAACCTATGTCACCGTCACTAGTTGGACAGCTTGGCCTGAATTTAAATGTGGAGAAGGCACTTGAAATAAGAAAAAACGTTTGTGTGCTGAACACATACAGTCAGGTCCATAAATATTGGGACATCAACACAATTCTAACATTTTTGGCTCTATACACCACCACAATGGATTTGAAATGAAACAAACAAGATGTGCTTTAACTGCAGACTCTCAGCTTTAATTTGAGGGTATTTACATCCAAATCAGGTGAACGGTGTAGGAATTACAACAGTTTGCATCCCACTTCTTAAGGGACCAAAAGTAATGGGACAGAATAATAATAATCAAAATTCACTTTTTTAATACTTGGTTGCAAATCCTTTGCAGTCAATTACAGCCTGAAGTCTGGAACGCATAGACATCACCAGACGCTGGGTTTCATCCTGGTGGTGATGCTCTGCCAGGCCTCTACTGCAACTGTCTTCAGTTCCTGCTTGTTCTTGGAGCATTTTCCCTTCAGTTTTGTCTTCAGCAAGTGTGCATTCTCAATCGGATTCAGGTCAGGTGATTGACTTGGCCATTGCATAACATTCCACTATCTTTCCCTTATAAAAAAAACTCTTTGGTTGCTTTTGCAATATGCTTTGGGTTATTGTCCATCTGCACTGTGAAGCGGCGTCCAAAATGAGTTGTGAAGCATTTGACTGAATATGAGCAGATAATATTGCCCAAAAACACTTCAGGAATTCATCCTGAAGCAGTCACATCATCAATAAATACAAGAGAACCAGTTCCATTGGCAGTCATACATGCCCACGGCATGAACTACCACCACCATGCTTCACTGATGAGGTGGTATGCTCAGGATCATGAGCAGTTCCTTTCCTTCTCCATACTCTTCTCTCTCCCATCACTCTGGTACAAGTTGATATTGGTCTCATCTGTTCATAGGATGTTGTTCCAGAACTGTGAAGACTTTTTTAGATGTTGTTTGGCAAACTCTAATTGGCCTTCCTGTTTTTGAGGCTCACCAATGGTTTCCAGTGGTGAACCCTCTGTATTCACTCTGAAAGTCTTCTCTTGATTGTTGACTTTGACACACATACACCTACCTCCTGGAGAGTGTTCTTGATCTGCCCAACTGTTGTGAAGGGTGTTTTCTTCACCAGGGAAAGAATTCATCGGTCATCCACCACAGTTGTTTTCCGTGGTCTTTCCAGGTCTTTTGGTACTGAGCTCAGGTGCGTTCCTTCTTTTTAAGAATGTTCAAACAGTTGTTTTGGCCACGCCTAATGTTTTTGCTATCTCTCTGATGGGTTTGTTTTGTTTTTTTTTTTCAGCCTAATGATGGCTTGCTTCACTATGATAGTGACAGCTCTTGGATCTCATCTTGAGAGTTGACAGCAACAGATTCCAAATGCAGATAGCACACTTGAAATGAAAGGACCTTTTATCTGCTCATTGTAATTGGGATAATGAGGGAATAACCCACCTGGCCATGGAACGAGAAGCCAATTGTCCCATTACTTTTGGTCCCTTATTCAAGTGGGAGGCACATGCAAACTGTTGTAATTCCCACACCGTTCACCTGATTTGGATGTAAATACCCTCAAATTAAAGCTGACAATCTGTAGTTAAAGCACATCTTGTTTGTTTCATTTCAAATCCATTGTGGTGGTGTGTAGCCAAAAATGTTAGAATTGTGTTGATGTCCCATATATTTATGGACCTGACTGTATATTATTCATACGGTATGAGAATGAGATATATTTGTAAAATTCAGGCTTGAACTTCTAATTCTGATAACCATGAGGTGGTATTTTCATACCACTTTTGATAAATACCAGTGACTGTCAGATTGCCAGTTGGTCCTATATAAAGGGCATCCACACAAAGACAGAAAGTGGGAGGCATATTTAAAAAGTCGGCTTTGATGACCGTGCGCAAGACTTATATCCCTTTAATACATTTGCAGAGGTAAATCTACAGTATGGCAGATGATATAAAACCCACAGTAATAACTACAGTAATACTGAAACCCCAGCTCAGTTGTTTCTCTTATATACTTTTTTTTTGTTTCCGTCAAAGTTACATAATATATTACACAAGTTCTTATCCTCAGCCCTTCCAAATAAATCTCATCATTGACTATAACCAGCTTCAACGGCAATGCCAGAATACATTATATTACAAACACTAACCTGGTCAAATGTTTGCTTGAAGCATGTACTTCCATCTCATTGCTTTTATATTCATTTAGTTCTTTTCGAATGGCAGCCTGGAAATAAGAACACAATGCATTGTTAGCTAAATTGTCCAGCAAAAAAAATATTAGGACATTTGTATTTTGGTGTCATATAGACAAAGTAATAATACACAACATTCTTAGTTACTATCTCATAATTAATGTGCATCATGCAAAGGTGTCCATACAGCCATACAGAGGGACATCTGCTCACTGGAGCAAAAAGTGAGGCAGTTACCTAGAGAAACCAGATTCCTTGTGTTCATATAAATACACATTTTGATTGGTGGGCTTTGACAACTGCCCCATTTCTGCTTCAGTTTTCTTAGTACCAATCATGGTAAATCTGTCTCATTATATCACACACGGTACCTTGTCTGCTGCAGATAATCTGGTCCATGGCTTGTCTGCTCTTCTATCGTAATCCTGGGCTTTTGCCACCTCCACATAATCACTAAATCGTATCAGGATTTTTCTCTCTCGCAGTTCGTCTACTGTTGGCCTTTGATTGAGCTACATAAAAAGAATAAAATATCAGTTATATAGTTCAGTGTTCCGTTACAGAGTTAGTCAGATTATGTTGCTTCAGTGAGGAGTGTAAAGCAAACATGAAAGCATGTTCTAGAAATTAGTGGTGCTTTCTTGCCCAAAGCGTTTCCACTTTAGCTTAAATCCCACTGAGCGAGTGATATTTATGCAGCCTAATAGCAGTAAATGACTATGCATGGAACACCTGTAAGCTGCAGGATATCAGTGTGACATGGTACAAGATGACTGTGATATGGGTATTTTACAGACTGTCATTCAGGAAATTTCCATTTGGTGAAGGAGGAAACTGCCTTGTATCTCCTACATAACCATTTACAGACAAAAGCAAACGTAGGAGGATAATGTCTGAGAAAGCAAGCCTGTCCTGACCATAGCAACTTATCATTCTCCCCCTCTCGTTTAAAGGATAAGTCCACCTTTTGACCAAAATAAAAATAAAACCACATTTTTTTTGCAGTTAACAAATGTGCATTTATTATTTTTGATTGCAGGAGCTTATAAACCATTGCATCAGCGATCAGCAGATCGCCCTCTCTATTCAAAAAGTGACAGCTAGTGTGGTGAACTTCTCCCGTACTGCTGTCACAGGGAGTGGGGGATTGGGCAGTGGCTCCAGCATTGGGAACATGTTACATGTTCCAACCTAAAAATGGGTGGAACACATGACATGCTCCCAAAGGTGAGCTTATCCTTTTAACACCGTATTTCTTGGCTCTAGTCAACTGTGGGTATTGGATTATAACTTTTTTTTTTATGGTTGAACTGGATGGACTTTTGTCTTTTTTTTAGCCAGACTAACTATGTAACTAGTCTTTAGAAACCCTCAACAGGTCACATTTTCAGTATTTTCTTCAGTGAGGTTTCAATATTTAAATCCCCATTGTAAAAGTAAAGATATATTGGGGTTACTGAGACTGGTAAAAAAAAATTACTTGTTTAACTTGCGCTATATGAATCAAAAGGTGTCTGGCTTCAAAGGTCATACCCTAATATGCAGACGTTCAAATCAAGCTGCAAAGACAGTGGTCACAATCCTGTCCCTTGGATTTGTCAACCCAATGCAAGAGGCAGAAAGCAGAATCCAAAAGCAATATATCAGGGACAAAATTGTCTTTGTTTAAAACTAATTAAAAAAGTCAAATAACCCAAATGGGTATCCGAACATCACATATATGAGGGTGTGGGAGTGCTAGTAAATCACACACATTCCTGCAGCCACACACGAGACGTGGCGCAAAGAAAACACAAGGGGGTGCCATTAATTCTTAAAAAAATGTGGTGCAGTTTTCTGCACATGAAAATTGCATGGTCCATGCAACCACATTTTTAAAAAGGTGCAGGGACCTTCTCCCTGCAGGAAATGCAGGCACAGCAGTCCATTCAAATGAACAGGCTACCCTGCCCATGCACCCACCACACACTGAGCCGCATACATGTGAACCGGGCTTAAGATAAACATAGTGCCCAATAGCAGAGATTACAGCACTGTAAATTTTCCTCCCTCATTGCAATAAAGTATTTCAGCTCTTTGCCTACAATTATACAGTCATGGAGTAAAATCTTATTGGGAGCCTGTCCCTGGATTTCTGACTTGAAAGCAGGTGCCATGATGATAGTGGCAGGGAAGATAGAAAAGTAGAGCCTGGCCCAGAGATATAGTGCTCAGTCAAGAGGTTGCATCAGGTTGCAGGGAATTTTCACCTTGGCCTGTTACGTTTCTGCAAGAAACATTACAAAACCATCCGGCTAATTTAATAAATGAATGCACAAAAGCAATGATGTGTAAAGTTCAGTAACTGGGTTTAATCAGTCAAAAGCCACAGATCATTGTTGTGTGCATTCTGATAAGCTGCTGTGCCTGCTTGCAAGCCTGTATCTACAGCGATAGATATGTAATTATGGTGTCTGTAGACAGTGGGATTCTTTTTTGCATTCCTGACAATGCGTTTATGGTATGAAGACAAGGTTATTCACCTTTCTTGTCAGCCTCTGCTTGATTTCCCTTCGTTCTTCTTGCTCTGTCTGGTCATTTCTCTCTGTTAAAGAAGAAAACACAGTGTAAGTTGTCAAGTTTTTTTTTAGCATGTATCTAAAACAAGACGCATTGGAACTGTCCATAGATTGGTAGAGGGGTTGCTATACAGTACACTTTGGGCCCTGTTGCCTGCTCTGTCTTGACAGAGATCTTTTACAACTTGGCTCCTTTGCTTAGCAAATTTTTCCTCTTGTGAAGATGCTAAATTAGATCACTTTATGTTCATTCCAATGACAACAGATGACCTGCAGCACTGTCATAATAAAAGGTCACTATATTTAATGGAGCCATGTAATGAACAAACCCAGCAAGCACTGTCTACAGCCTGTGAAATGAATGTCCATTTTTCACTGCCTTGACTTGTGACTAAGCCAGATTAAGAAGTCTGGATTGTTGTATTATATAAAGTAATATGAGTGTACCATTTGATAGATCCACCTGGTGTTTTTAACTGAACAAATCCCAAACTGCTTTCTTAAAGCAGTGCAGTCATACAAGAGTGGAATTGGCAGAATGTGGGGGCCATTTTGAAATAGCCAAAATGGTTAGTAGTTATGAAATCTTGAAATGGTTAGATATTAGATATCTAAACCTCAATGGACATGGCAAACTACATATCTAAAGAAGGACTAAAATTCATTTTATTCTTTTTAATCTGTTGAAATTTAATAGCATTGCATATCATTTTTGGTCAGTCACATGCTTGGACTTGAACGAGTTATTAATTGTACATACATATGTTGTTTTCTCTTCACCTAACAACGTGAATACATTGTAGTTATATATGGAGTATTTACAGACTAATCCATAGTACTTCGCATATCTTATGATCTAATATTCTTTAATGCAACCCCTTAACTTTTTATATATGTGGCATTTTTTCCATCCCCTCCCTCCTAGATTGTAAGCTCCAAAGAGCAGGGCCCTCAATCCCCTCATGTTTTGCATTGTATTGGTATTGTTCTGTCACATGTTCTGTCCCCCTTTGTAATGTACAGCGCTGAGCAAACTATTGGCGCTTTATAAATACTGTATAATAATAATAATCATCATAATTTTGCTGTATGGACTGTAATCTGTATTGTATTTAATATTTTTTTAGACATTTGGCAATATTAACCTGATGCTCACATCAGCAGCTAAAGAAATCCGTAATCTGGCCGCTGAAGCAAATGGCTAGTAGTATTGATTATTAGGTAATGGTCGTCCTTTTGCTGAACTGAGAGGTGTCTTTTGTGGCAAGGTCTTTCCCTGGGAGACTCTTCGCATTCTTGTAGCCGCTTTACAATTTCTCAGAACGCCTCTGCACAGAAGCTAAAAATAGCTCCTACTGCAGTGCTGGTGGGTGGAATTCATTATCTGCTGTAGGATTGTAGTAAACGAGATTGCTATTTTTGGCTCTGTCAGCTAAAAAAAGATTCAGGTCACCATTACGAAGTCTGTATCAAAATGTGGAGGGATGCCTGCTTTCAGATTTGCGTTTTGGGAAATCCCTCTAATCCCGCACACTTGCAGACAGTATGAAATCAGCCAGGTGACCATTGTCATCCAGTGTTTCCCTCATACCTTTCTTGTTACTGGTAGTACCCCAACTATCTTTATTATACTACTTAACAATTGTAATACAGTATATGCATTGATATATATATATATGTGTGTGTGTATGTATGTGTGTGTATATATATATATATATATATATATATATATATACACACACACACACTGTCTAGTTCTCTTTTATGGTCCGTTTACATTTTTGCAGCGCATTAGGTCACACATTACTAGCTTACTGAAGTTAATGGATTGCCAGTGCACCCTGATATGACAAAAATTGGACCGAAACACATTTATACATTGCCACTACACAGAAGTAAACGAGCCACTCCACAATTTTGGTTCCTGATTGCTACACATACCCACCAAATAAACTATATTATTTCTAGATTCAAGAAACTCAAGTAATTAAAAATTGGCTGTATGAAAATTGACCTTCCTGGATCAGCCGACAGTTCTTTAAAAGTGTCCACAAACATAAGTTTGACTGTGTAAAGATATGCTCTGCATATTATTTTGTGGATGGATTGTGATATAAACATGCATGATTGTGTCAGACATGCATAAATTCTTATACCCTGTGCAGACATTGCAGCAAAAAAATACTGGGGAACAATTGCAGTTGTCAGGAAAAATCCACCTGCACAACTGGTTCTTAAAAATTGGATAGGTCAGAGGTCTTAGCATGGGTTTAAAGCAGCCCCAGAAATACCATCCTTTTCTGATTCTGAATACCAGCTACAATGGGTATTTTATAGGTACTGACCACTCAGGCACTGCCCGAGGGCCCGGGGTCAGTAGGGGGCCCCATGAGATGCCCCTGGTACCTTTCATAGGCTTTTTTGGGTGTGGTTTGAGTGTGGGCGAGGACACAGGGGCCCCATGATTTCCTATTGCCCAGGGGCCCCATGATTTCCTATTGCCCGGGGGCCCCATGAGTTGCCAGTCCGTCCCTGGTACTAATTAAAGGGGAGAACCACACAGCTACAACCTCAACAATTTTCTCATATCACAAAGCTATTTCCTCCAAACTCTGTACATAGTATGCACTGGCATAGAGATTTCTTAATCCAAAGAGATGGTCACATGACCATTGTCAGATATTTTCTGCACTAGATATGATTTCTGTGGCCAACCTTCTCTCTCTGTCAGTTACGCCAATGTCCCCTGAACTGATTATTAGTACTGATGACAAAAAACAGTCACATCTATAGCAAAATTAGACCCCTCATGGTCGAAGTACTAGCCCAGTGTAATCAAAATCCACTGTAATTAAATCAGCATACATTTGTATAAATTATATACAAGATTGTATATTAGAGACAAGAATTTAGCCCACACTAATGCATTATTCTATACCTATCAAGTTATTTGCTTTTTAAACGTCTCTGGTGGATCACTGTATAAAATGCCTGTGGATTTGGAGTTTCTATGGAGATATGAGGACATGTAGTACATCTTGGGAATACCTAGCTAATCCCTCTTTATTATGCTGAGAACAGATTTGCTGATGTCTATTGTGCACAGGATACACCTGTGTTGAATGCAGCATCTATTCAATAGCACATAGATGGCAAGCTGTCAGTGCTTTGTGCAAGGCAGACATCACGAATCGTTTTTCGAAGAAGCCGTTGTCCTTGACTCTAGCTATAAGTGCAGCGCTACAGCAGAAACTGATTATGTACTAGACTCTCATCTAGGAATATCCTGTTCATTGTATATCCTATTCATTGTATAACAGAGAGATGTGATCATTTACAGCAATTAGTGCAGATAAATGTACCCCAAGTCTCTGATGTCTGGATTTCTACTGTGGCCTCGATATATAGACAGACCCCCATTTTGTTTGGCATTTTATTTTTCTAACTGCCTGATTACCCATAACAATCAATCAGATTTAATTTTTAACTTGCTCTGGGAAAATTAAACAGTGTTTTTGTGGTATTGGCAATGAATATTTTCTCTGCTGCATTTATAATACATCGGTCCAAATTAAGGCAATCAGATTCTATAATTAGGACAGTATGTAAGGCATTCAATTAAAAGGGTTGTTTAAACGTAGCCTAAGGGCTCCTTCAAAGGAAGGTATAGCAATGTCTGACAGGCATTCAGGAAGTGCCACTGACACCTCCTGTTAGCTGTTTTATTTAATATTTAACTTTTTTTTTTTAAATTTCCAATTGGCAATTTCACAATGCGGGGACCAAACCACAGCAGCAAGACAAGCACTTGGTTTGCAGTAGTGATGCAGCCCCACCTCGATGAGCAGATTTGACAGGCGGTGCCTCCTGTCAAACTCAGCAGCCAGAATTAAAATTGCTGCAGCTGTGGCTTGTTTACAGACCTGTCAGGCTGTAATGTTAGAATTTCAGTGGGTGGCAAAACTATGGCTCATCCACCTATTCTTACTTACTCTTCGACCATCAATGTGGGAAAGTGCCCTAAGGCTGCTTTCACATTGATCTGTTTACTTCTACTTTTGCATTAAAAAGCGGAAGAAAAACGTATGACCGTGTAATCCTATGGAACTCTTCACACTGATCCTTTGCGGGTCTGCTGTGATTGGTAAAATCCTGCTTGTTGCATTTTTGGTGCAGGTTTGATGCGGTAAAAAAACAGCACCAAAACCACACCTCCCCATTGAAATACATTGAAAATATGGCAAAAATGCACCCACATTGCAATTTTGAGTCACTTTTCCTGTGTAAAACATACCACAAACTTGATAAAAACACAGCAAAAAAACTCGTGCATTTTTATTGCGTTTTTTACTACGGATCAGTGTGAAAGTATGATTTTTCCAATTCATACACCTGTTGTAGTTGTGCGTTGGTGCACTGCAGTGCCATTCATTTCTAGTGACACCCTTTGCCAACCCACATTTATTACAGCACACCACACTGCATGGTAGTGCACTACAGTGTGTTGTGGTAAACTATGTTAGAAAAAATTGCATGCACCTTTTGGGTGTGAATTTGGTGAAGTACACAACCCATTCAAATGAATCGGCTGCCTTATCACCACGCATATTAAAACTTGTGAGTTACTGCAGGTCACAGATGGAAACCTAGGCCTTTAGTAAATGTTTTTTACGCCCAATGAGCCAAAACGATCTTTCTTAGATCCTGCATTTAAAAGTAAACATTTTTCTGATATACAAACTAATTTTTCTGAAAACAAGAATGTGGTGTTTTTATTAGTTTTTATTCCAATAAAATTTTGCATTTTTAAAGCAGGACGCTCACATTGAACGTTCTCTTTTGATCTTGTTCTTGCCTTCTTTTCAGAAGCTATTTCCTGCAATTGGGCTTATAACAAACATAGTGGTGAGTTGATAAAGCGTATTATCAAATGTATACTTAGATGACTGGCATACCTTAGTATGTTGTTTACTTATATTCATTATGTAGTACAAGCAGGGGCGTATTTACCACAAGGCAAACAAGGCATTTGCATAGGGCAGCATTTTTCAGGGGGGCAGCATCGCCCCCCTGGAAAAGGGACGAAAGAGGGGACACATGCGGCTGAGGGACCAGACTGGATCTGAGAGAGGCTGCGGGCTGCTTGACTCTCGTTCCTGGGGATGTCCAGAGCTGTGAAGGCGAGTGTCTTTCTCTCTCTCGCTGGGAGGGGAGTGGCCGGTGTATGGGGGCGATGGTAGTGGCTCTATGGATGGGGGCAGGGGTGTTGTTGGTCAATGTCAGGCTCTCTATGAGTGGGGTGCGAATTCTGTGTTGCCAAGGGCAGCACAAAACCTAAATACGCCACTGAGTACAAGATCTTACGTAAGCAGTCTATTCCATGTATAGTATATGCAGACAGATAGACCCTCACTCTGCATAGTTTGTAAGTCTGTAGGACATTATACAGTTGGATTGTAATGTGTGTGGTCAGCTTTACAGGATAGTGTAGACAGATGCGATGTGCAGTAAACCACTGTAACCAATCTAAAATCAGCTTTTCTTGACTTTTGTTTGAATGTCATCGTTATTTGCACATAGTAGCACTCTGCTTGTAGGTTCTTTCTAAAAAGACCCTTACAAGTCCCGATGTGTGGCCTGCATCATGAACTATGTCACAACTCCTCTGTTAATGAGATTTAGCATACACTATTTTTATAGCACTGATGCATCATTCGGTATGGTGTGAAATTTCAGACTGCAAAGGTCAGATTTGTGTGTGGGACTACACAGCAGGTCACTAGTGTCTGTTATCCAGGGAAGCCTACTTTCAGGAAACACCAGGATTAGCCTGGGGCAGGGACACTCTACAGACAGCTAGCTAACTAGGGCTTTGTGCTTTAATACAATCTTCAGTCTGAAAGCAGAGGTCATGGGGTTGACGCCTGAGGAAAACTGTCAAAACATGGCCTTCTTCAAACAGGTGCAGAAGAGGAGGAATGCTCTGAGGCTGGGCAGGAAAAATACCAAGGCTCAAAACAGGGAATTGTCCCTCTTCTGATGCCTGATCTCCTGACTTTAGAAAAAGATGGCTGCATGTAGGTCTTTAGTACCGAAAAGCTCTAAACGCAAAGTGCAGTATGCAACAACCTATAGCAACTAACAAGTTTTATTCTGACTGCTCTCAGCTGATTGGCAAAATCAGGTTGCTAAGTGTTACGGCACATAATAGCTCTTAGGGCTTTCAAATGATATACACGTGATTGCTTAGTATATCAGCCCCTCTGTTTTTGTAGTTGAGGCTAATTGATCATAAAGGATTCAGCCATTTTTACACAGGCCTGTGTTTACTTCAAGTACCCAACCAGGTTTAGAGGAATATAGAAAAAGAAAATACAGATTCATGTAGAACTGGATTCTTTAGTAAATTAATACTAATTTTTTTTTAATTAATTTATATAAGAAGTGGCATTACTCGTAACAACCATTCAGTTAATTTCCTTAAATATTTTTGTATGTGTTTCATTGTGTTCAATCATCAATACTAATTTTTCGTGAATGATTAGGTTTTAGGTATGAAGTGTCACTTACATTAGTTTTATATAGTTAAAACCTCACACTGGGCCTTGTTATAAAAGTGATTGCAAATTTTGCATATGGCAACCTGTGTGTTTTTTTTTATCCCCCTCTCCCTGTAGAACTTGTTCTGTGTATAAAATGTTGAACCAAAATAACAACTTCGGTTATTAGATAGATATCGATCATTATTATTATTATTTATACAGTATTTATATAGCGCCAAAAGGTTTGCTCAGGTATTTTTATACCATAATGTCCATGGTATATCCCACGCTACCCTAGAGGTTAAATTATTAAAATTTTTATTATTATTATACAGTATTTATATAGCGCCAACAGTGTGCTCTGCACTTTACAATATAACGGGAGACAATACAGCAACAGTACAGTTCAATACAAGAGGAGGGGCAGACTGACAACTCATAGGGCCCCCGGGCAATAGAGGATCATGGGGCCCCTGTGTCCTTGCCCAAACTCAAAAAAGCCTATGAAAAAGGTACCAGAGGCATCTCATGGGGCCCCCTACTGACCCTGGGCCCTCGGGCAGTGCCCGAGTTTCCAAATGGTCAGTCCGCCCCTGGTTAGGAGAGCCCTGATCCTAAACTAGGGCTAAACTGTTGGTATAGACACAGGCAGGCCATAAGCATTTGAATGCCGATTACCAAGCCCATCCATGACTCCACTTTTATATTCAAACTGGTATGTAAACTGCATACATAACTAGATTTTCCCAGGCCTGAAGCCAGAGGCAGGTGCTGTACAACATGCCAATGCCATCTAACCATCTATCTCAGATATGCTAAGCATCCCCTTCTCCATGCCTGGATCTCAACCATTTACTATAAATAAGTATACAACACTCCACGCACCCTTGGATCCTCACATTCACACAACCGAGAGAAAGTAACATCATACTCACGTTTTAGGATATTCCTTCTTTCCAGTTCCTCCACAGCTGGTCTTTGGCTCAGGCGCCTGCGGAAAAAGACCAGAATCACGTTCTGAACCATGCTTGCAGACAGAGAAGTGTGCAGCTCTTTTATATTCAAGAAGGTGTAGACCAGTTGAAATCCCTTGCTGACTTGGGGATGAGCTGAGAGCAGGCAGTGTTGGTGGTGTGCAAGGTGTAGTGAGTTGATCAGAACAGAGAGATCCTCTTTCGGATTCCCCTCGTACTGAAGGCTTCTTAGTACTGTGTGGTGTTCCCAGCTCTAGCTCAGGCAATCCGTCTTTACAGCTCCCTGATCACACCCACCTGCACTGCCCAACCAATCAGCAGGCTGTTGTGCACATAATAAATGAGGCTTTCCCCTACTATTAACTCCCTCCCCTCCCTTCGCTGTACTGTACATCCACAAGTATTGCACAGCACAAAGTGTCTTCTTCACATCGTTCCACGCAATCGTTTGTCACTATATTTAACACATTTGCTGAAATTGCTGCTGACTGCTCTAAAATAAAATATATAATGATGGCTAATGATCATTTTCTTACACATAGATGTACTCTCCCTGATCTGCATTATTATATCAACAAGTTACCAATCATAAATTGCAGCTAGAGAACAAAGACTATCAACCTTGTGTCAGTTTATGATGAACATGGACCAGCAAGGGTCTGTTCATGAAGAGATGCGTGCTCAGGAAGATCAATTGAGTTTAATATTTATAAAGCTGAGGAAAAATAAAACCAGCCATAAAAAAGGGGAGAAGGCACATAATGTTCTAGTTTTTCTTATATCTTGTCTATAGTGTATAAACTGTATCAAATACACATTTTTTATTATTTACTTTAAATACGTACAATTATTACATATTTTTCCATAATAAGAAACTACAGTTGTGGCCAAAATTATTCAACCCCCACTGAAATTGAGTGTTTTGGCCAGTTTGACATTGCTTTTGATCATTCAGTCATCTTGCTTACATTTACATTAAAGAGGCACTTGTAGGTCAGACAAATATAACATAACAGTTATAATGAAATAACCACAAATGTCTTTTCTGTGCTCACAGCATTATCAGTTTTATTCAACCCCCAAGTGACATTCAATCTTAGTACTTAGTACAGCATCCTTTTACAGTTATAACAGCTTTTAAACGTGAAGCATAGCTTGACACAAGTGTCTTGCAGCGATCTACGGGTATCTTCGCCCATTCTTCATGGGCAAAGGCCTCCAGTTCAGTCACATTCTTAGGCTTGCGCACTGCAACTGCTTTCTTTAAGTCCCACCAGAGGTTCTCAATCGGATTTAAGTCTGGTGACTGCGATGGCCACTCCAAAATGTTCCAGCCTTTCCTCTGCAACCATGCTCTAGTGGACTTGGAGGTATGCTTGGGATCATTGTCCTGTTGAAAGGTCCAACGTCTCCCAAGCCTCAGGTGTGTGACGGACTGCATCACGTTTCCATCCAATATCTCCTGGTACTGAAGAGAATTCATGGTACCTTGCACACGCTGAAGCTTCCCTGTACCTGCAGAAGCAAAACAGCCCCAAAGCATGATTGACCCTCCACCATGCTTCACAGTAGGCAAGGTGTTCTTTTCATCATAGGCCTTGTTCTTCCTCCTCCAAACATAGCGTTGATCCATGGGCCCAAAACAGTTCTAATTTTGTTTCATCAGTCCACAGAACACTATCCCACAACTTTTGTGGTTTGTCCACATGGCTTTTGGCATACTGCAGTCGACTCTTCTTATTCTTTGGAGACAGCAAGGGGGTACGCCTGGGAGTTCTGGCACGGAGGCCTTCATTACGCAGTGTGCGTCTTTATTGTCTGGGCTGAAACTTCTGTACCCACATCTGACAAATCTTTTCTCAGTTCCTCAGCAGTCACACGGGGACTTCTCTCCACTCTACGCTTCAGGTAGCGCACAGCAGTCGAAGTCAGCATCTTCTTTCTGCCACGACCAGGTAGCGTTTCAACAGTGCCCTTTGCCTTGAATTTGCGAATGATGCTTCCTAAGGTGTCTCTTGGTATGTTTAACATCTTTGCAATCTTCTTATAGCCATTGCCCTTCCTGTGAAGAGAAATCACCTCTTCTCTTGTCTTCCTGGACCATTCTCTTGCCTTCACCATGTTTGTAACCACACCAGTAAATGTCTAGAAGGAGCTGAGTATCACAGTCATTTTAAAGCTGCCTAATTGGTGCTTATTATGCTTGATTGCTGCTCGGTGACATCCACAGGTGTTTTCAATACCTGATGGAAAGCACCTGTATGAACCTCTGTTCTTCAGAGTGGTAGTCTTTAAGGGGTTGAATAATTGTGGCAATGAAGAAACCACATAAGAACCATTTACTACTGTATTACATAAACAATTGATGTCATTTTAGTTGCATTTGGGTAGTTACAACGTCCTTGTAGGATTTGATTCTGAATACAATTCCAAATGTACACTATAGTCCCTAAACCCCTTTACAGCATTGGGGGGTTGAATAATTTTGGACACAACTGTATAAGTATATTAAGTAATACACCTTTTCCTAGCAATCAAAACTGTAATTAATATTCTGCAGCCTTTAGTTTCTGTTTCTGATACCACACAGAGGTTGATGAATGTTAATTCTCCAAAAAATGTATGTCTCTTTACAAATATTTTTAAGCAAATATTTCACACTGTTAAAAACACTACTGTACAATCAAATATGGAAATGAAGATCTCACATATAAAACAAGTAATACAAAAAAGTTTACAAACTGCTTGAACAATATTTTTTATCATTTAAAAACAGGCTCCTTCTTCTTTTATGCAATATTAGTACAAAATTCAAATTACAGTTTGAGCTTTTTCACACCTTTGCACCTACACCTCACCACAGGGCCAGCCAGTGCTCACCTACATCAATGTTCAGTCAGCTAAGATTATCTGCTATGTATGTATGTACTAACACAGCCATAGAGAATATTGGATGTCTGCTGTGCATAATAAAGACAAAACTTATTTATATAAATTGAATAAAGGGACAGCGAGCGCTCAGGGATCTGATAAGATCAACCGCAAATGCATTAAATAGGAACCCTAGACCTTATATGTAATACAGACAAAAAACAATGCAGCGCTAAAAAAATGATACAGTGCAGGACTAAAAAATACATAATTATTAGTGATAATGATAAGAAAACAATAATAAATATAAGTGATAAATATATGTGAATGAAGCGCTATGATTGGCTCAATAAAATAAGTGCAACTGTGAAAGTCTTAAAGCAAAAAGTGTTCATAAGATGGTGAAGGTCTGACAAACTCTGGTCAGAGGATAGTGTTGCAAACTGGTCCTATTGCACAGGTGGTGTCGGATTATTCCATGTGACTTTTATCCGTGCAGGAGATTAATAAAAAATGCGCACTCATCAGATGTGCATAGTTAAAGCGCAATGTGTTGAACGGTATATTGACCAAGGATCTGCAGGAAGTCCCCTTTAGATGGATCAGACAGCATGAGAAGAGACTCCCTCCTCTGGATATGAGACTGCTCTGCAACCATAATCCCACTGGGGTCCTGGGAAACGTTAGCTCAATAAAGAGCCAAAAAAGAAAGTGCTCATAGTGTAGTATTATTCTTTTTATTGATAGCTACACCATCTTCACAGTCTAGCACTGCACAATCTACATTGAGAGTAGCTATTTTTTGGATTTTTTTTAAATCATTTCCAGGTACATATAGTACAGCTATTCGAGGTATGTACTTATGAGCTGTATGAATGTGGGAGTACAGACAGCTGGTTCTTTGTATTCCCAAGAATCCACTTGCAAGTACAGCAGACTTTAGTGTCATCTTCCAGTGTAGCTATCAATAAAAAGAATAATACTACACTATGAACACCTTTTTTGGCTCTTTATTGAGCTAACGTTTCCCAGGACCCCCCCAGTAGGGTTATGGTTGCAAAGCAGTCTCCTATCCAGAGGAGGGAGTCTCCTCCCATGCTGTCTGTCTGATCCAACTAAAGGGGGCTTCCTGCAGATCCTTGGTCAATATACTGTTCAACACATTGCGCTTTAACTATGGTAAGTGTGCATTTTTATCAATCTCCCGCACGGATAAAAGTCACATGGAATAATCTGACACCACCTGTGCAATAGGACCAGTTTTCAACACTATACACTATACTAGACCTTCACCATCTTATGAACAAATTTTGCTTTAAGACTTTCACAGCTGCACTTATTTTATTGTGCCACTCATAGCGCTTCATTGACTTAGATTTGTTATGACTTATATGTATTATTGATTGATTATCATCAGTTTTTAGTCCTGCACTGTATCATCTTTTTTTAGCGCTGCACTGTATTTTGTCTATTTATATAAATGGAAACATAATGCTGTAGAGCAGTGGTCTCCAAAATGTGGCCCGGGGGCAAGATGTGACCCTTTGGTTGCCGTTATCTGGCCCTTGGAGCACTATTCCACCAACTAACACCAATGATGGGTCACCATTCCTCCTACTGACACCATCAATTGGGCACTATTCACCTCATTGATATTAACAATGGGACACTATTTCTCCCATTAAAACCAGTGATGGGGCTCTGATGCTGGGGCATTTTCTACTCCCACTGGCCACAGTCCAGCCCTCCTACAACCTGAAGGTCAGTAAACTGGCCCCTTGCTTGGAAAGTTTGGAGACCCCTGCTGTAGAGTATGTTTAGAGTAGAGCTAGAGCAAAAAAACAGGATCCCAGTGGTTTTCAGTCAGGAGCACGTAGGAATCCTAATTTTGTTTTTTGTTTTTTTGCTTTTTTTTTTTCTAAGCAGTCTTCTGCTGATCTTTATAAAAAAAATGCACCAATTGAAGGAGTGCTAGACCAAAAGGTTAAAAGAGTTCCACATTAATTTATTGGTTTAAACTAAAACAACAGCCAACGCATTTAAGGGTCAGAAAAGACTCCCCCCTTCATCAAGGCTTTAGGTAAAATAAGAACCTTAAGTGCCGGTTCACATATATGCAAATTGGAGGCGGTTTGATCCGCATCCAATCCACATGACATGTGAAATAACATTGCTTCCTAT